TATATTTTATTATTTTACTTTATATATATATATATAATATTTACAAGCTATAAAGAGGCACCGCGGAACTATAATAAATAATGCAAACGTAGACTAAGTGCCATAAAATTTCTTCGGCGATAATTCAATCAATTTTTAACAATAAAAAACGATATAAGATTTATTATTAGTTATTTTAACGTTAATTTTAAGTGAAAAAAAATCAAAACCTTTGTTTTAATGAAACGAGTTAACAGATTAAATATTTAATTTAATTATAAGTCTAGATACATTACAGGGTCTTGTTTTTTTTTTTTTTAGTAAACATTGTTGAATTTTTTATAAAGAAAAAGTTAGAACAATAAATCCATAACACTGGCTATTGTATGAGAAAAGAAAGAAGTAAAGCCAATTAGGAGAAGATGAGTGAATGTGGTAGCTTCCTAGCTGGATATTGCATTATCTAACAAACTTCATTTACTATATCTACTTTTGTTTATTATTTTTTTTAAGTCTCTGTTAAATGTACCATTAAATTTGTATGTTGGTATCCTATATGGTCGGAAAATGTCTTAATTACATTTTTGATGGCTTAAAAATGATTGGAGCGAGATGGCACATTACTTCTGATAATAATAGTAGTAGATCTAATGCATTTTTTTTTTTTTTTTTCGATAATCGTTGTCTGCAAAGGAAAATAGATTGAACTCGTACCCATTGTCCAGATATTTATAACAAAAATGTTAAGAGGCTGGTTGCAGGGACTCTCCATGAGGACCCATAGAGGACCCGCCAACGCAGCAAAACTAATAACCATATTAAAGGGAATAAAATAGCGATAAATAAAAAGTTGGAGGGCGCGAAAAAACGATATTAGATGCTAAATGGAAGTAGATCGATAATAAATGGTGAGGAAGGCAGGTAATGATTGGACGTGGTGGGGAAGAAATTAAAGTGGCGAGTGATTTTTCCGACCAATGTCGGTTGATTGGAGGTGAAAACGAAAATTTGAAGAATTTCAAATTTCTTTTAGAAAAGGAAAAAAAAAAAAACGCCCAATATAAAAAATGGGAAGTTTCTGACAAAATTATAGACTGTAGAAGAGTATTTTGATGGCATTCCTCCCCGAAATAGTGTAGTTTCTGAGGGAATCAAAGATGGAAGAGAGGTGCTTTACGTCTATTGATTCATTTTTCACCATTTCTCCTTTTGATTCCTGAAGGAATCTCAGAATGCGATTATAAAATAATATTTATGGCAAATTACCAGTCGTCTTAATTTTAAAATTGAAATATTTAAAGGACAAATCTACTAAAATTAACTCAAATCAATTAAATACCTCTGGGGGGATGTACTCTCTAAGATAAATATTTCTAACACATAAATTTTCATGTTAAAGGCATCCTGTCTAAATTCAATTCTAAATAATGTAATTTTTCCATTGAATTTAATTCATTTTTAAATATTCATTAAAAAAAAAAAAAATTCGAAAATTTAAGTATTTTACATGCTTTTAATTTATTATAAAATGAAATGATAATAATGTTATTGAATTAAATATTATTGATATAAATAATTTCAAAATGAATTCAATTGAATAAATAGAAAATTTAATAAAAGTTATTCTATACAATTTAAATAAAATCATAAGCTTAATGTAAAAATTCAATTCGAAATTTTTGTTTAGATTAAGGAGGAAATAATTTTGAAATTGTACATTAGTAAAAAAAAAAAAAATAATATAATATAAAAATTGAAGATTTTAAATTTAAATTTAATTTACTGGGGAAAAAAAACTAAAGAAATTAATACATAAATATTATTATTAATAGATTTAATAACTTCTTTCTTGATAATAAGAATTCGATTTTCTTATTTAAAATGTTATTAATATGACTTCAACCTCTCCGATGAGTTCATTAAAAGCGAAAGAACTAATTGTCTTATCTTTTAAAAATTTGTTTGTCGTAAAAAGAAATGCTTGGAAGTCGTGGCAAGATAATCACAAACGAGAGAGGAATTATGAGATTTTATTTTGTCTTTCACTTTAAACGGGTGAGTGAACCTTCTTTTAATTTAATTTCTGACACTCTTCTCTGTAAATGGATTTTTTATTTTTTTAAATTTGTTTTCTGGAATACAAGATTTAATGTCTTATCCCGACACAATATTATTAGAGTTCAAACACCCGTAGTGTCTGTCGTTGAATTCCCAAGGGATAAAGAGGCCCCTGCATAAAATATTTAGAAGCATTCATGACTTTACGATCTTTTTTTTTTTTAATGTAAATCCGGGATTCGTTATCTTGCGGATTTTCAAGATCTTTAATAATTGACATAATATTGAAACCGTGTTTTACGAGATGATTAACTTGTTGCAAAGGGATTCCTTTTCGTCCCGATTCGGACGTCACTCGTTGCTCCAGAGCCACGTGTCTTAGTACTTCAAATTTTCCAAAAATAACCCAAGACTAAAGTGATATAAGGTAAAGATGCAGTTTGAATGTCAGTTCGAAGTGGCATTTTCCTTCGGAAGTAAGATAAGTCTTGATAAAACGTTCTCCGAAGAATACCCAAGATGGTAGTAGAAGAATGACAGGAAGTTGACGGTCCAAACACTTTTCAACTGCGTGTTTTCTTTTTTTTTTTTTTTTTTCTTTTTTTTTTTTTTTCCTGCTCGGTAGTGATAATAGAATTATTTTACTTCGGTTCTTCGTATTTATAAAACGAAATTATCAGAATCGCTTTGTTCTCTTACAGCTTTATCATTAAGAGAAAATCATTGCGCATAAATGGAGCATGCACGGTAGATTTACAAATTGTGTTTTATTTGAAAAATTCTGGGTTAACGTACTGTTAAAAATATTTCCATTGGCTTTTAGTAGAATTAGATTGTTTTATTCGCAACTGCCATTTAGCATAAATAAGGTCCGAATTCATAAATCACGCTACTTCGCCGTCGTTTACCGAAAGGGGTATACATGTTTTAATTCAATATAGATAACCCTTATAGATAGGGAATCATTATGTTCTATGGCGTAGGCGAAATTTATTTTATAGTTCAACGAAACTAGAATGTCTGGTGATCCACTTATTACTATCTGGATAATTTTTCCTTCCGCATTTGATATAGTTATTAAAACGGAGCCAATTGCTCAATTAATAAAGGACATCATCATGGGAGTTTTCTAATTCCCAGTGTCTTATAGTGTAGAAGACGGACGAATGTAGTTAAAAAGCAGATGGAATATAAAAAACGGCTCGATCTCTTAATAAAGTACGACAGGTGTTTCCTTATCTCTTCGAGATTTACTTTCTTCAATAATGGCCGGCCATTCGATGAACTAAATCGCACATTATATAAATAACTCAAATGCGCTTTTTCCTCTGGTTTTCGCTTTAGGATACAACAAGAAAAACTGGTCGGTTCGAAAATTAGATGATAACTGTCTCGGTTGACAAATGTAAAGATGAAGAAAATGTGTTTACTTCTTATCGTTATCGGTTACATTAAGAGTAACACTCGATAAAGTTGCTAAACAAAGATGTCCTTGGCTGACTTGCCTCATTCCAAGCATCTGTTTCTACTTTGATCCAGAAAAGATTATTGTTTTCTTTTCTGTCTGCATTTGTTTGCTTCTAATTATATCGATCCGTTTTTCCTTAATGACGGAAATGTACAACAACTGCAATATTTTCGATACATAGAATACATTCAACTATCGTAGTCGAGCTTCTAATAAGTTAGAGAGAAATTTTTTACAGTATCTTGTGGTTAGATTTTAAAATAATTTTAGCAGTAGAATTCAGCCTTACAGACACGTCTCGCTGGATATCAGTGATGTTGGGGACCAATGACCCTTTGCTAAAAGTTCTGGTAGTAGTACAGTCATGTTTTTATAGCATTTTATACGTTGCGGGACCAAACGATTCTCTGTTACGACTGTAGAGAAGGCGGTTATGTTTGCAGATTACAAAATCTGATAATTACAACGGTAAACAATGGGACACTTTCCTGTAGATAATGGCTCTAAAGTTTTTGTTCCAAAAGATATTTTTCTTTCTTTTCTTCAAGGGCGTATGATACTTTCTTCCTTTCGTGTTCATTGTTGTGTTACCAAGAAAAATAAATATCTTATTAAAAGAATAATTTTGACCATGTAATCGAAACTTTTCTCTCTTAAATTATCGTTTACTGTCCGTACAATTTAAGATAAGACAAAAAAAAAATAGAGAAAAAAATCATATCGTAATGATTCCATACGTCCAAAACAAGTGATTTTCCTGCCATCTATAGGCAGGAAATGTAATTAAAATATATTAAATAAATAAACATTTATGAAAAATTATAAATTGTTTTCACGATAATCAGGTTGAAAACTTTTCATATTTTCATTTCCTTTAAAATTATATTAATAATAATANTAATTTAAAAAATATATAATAATTAATTTATTTTACGATTTATATTATTTTAGTTATATGTTTAAAATAAAGTGTCATTTAGTACACTTAAAAAAAAACACCAAATACATATATATAGATTTTTTTTATATATATATTTTATTGTTTCAATCTTTGTTCAAACATGACTTATATAACACGTGTCAAAGCAAATACAGCCTTTTGCAAAGAGGGGTCGGTCATTCGTCAACAATCCTTTCATAACGTTCAAATATTCAAACATTCGATCCCCAAATTTTTACATAATTAACACTCACAAGCATAGGTGATATTTTTAAAAACGAACTTTCGACTCTCCCACACACGAATTGCAGCATTCCCGTTTAAATACGATATGTAGACCTAAAAATAAAAAATAAAAAACGAAAGAGGAGGGAAATAAAGGTTTATTAATGAATTGCTGCAATTTTTACTATTCTCTCGATTTTCTAAACTTGAGCTTTATTTTTTAATTAATTAATTAATTAATTTTTTTTTGTTTTTTATACATATATTTTTTTTTTTAAGTTTTCACCAACATCTAGAGTGGAAAGTTGTGATGGTACAAAGCTTATTTTACATACACATCAGCTCCGTTACGTGTAAAGCGAAATACAAGCAACAGTAAAACACTATATAACGTGACCACTTTTTATTTTTTTTTTTTTGTTTAAAAAATTCCCTTAAAAAAGTCTTTGTACATAAACAAGGAATCCTTCCTTTCTAGTCGGAAACTAAATGCTTAACGTTAATAAAAGACAAAACAATTTCTCGTCGATATCATCAGACGTTTTGTCCTCTTATTATTATTATTATTATTAATATTTTTCGGACTTTGTACATCTAATGCATTGTTTATGATTAAAATCGCGAATATACAAGTGGTGACTAAATCAGGCAAAAGAACTGCTTCGATGTAAATCAAGGTGAAATCCCTCTTTAAAATAACTTCTGATCGAAATAAAGCTCGTTTTAACTAATGACGAAGGTATTTTTTTTTTTTTTTGCATATGTACTGTACTTCTAACAGAAACAATCTTGTGTCTTCCAACATTTTGCAGGGAAAATAGTAATAGAGCACATATCCACCTTCGTTTTATTTATTTATTTAATTAATTTATTAAACCAACTAGTTTTTTTTATGTTTATTCCCGATTGTGGCAGGATTAGCAGCAGTTGTTTTTTTTTTTAAACTGTTCATTCGATAATCAGACATTTCGGTAGGTGTTCGTGAAGGTAATCGAAAAGTTCTCTCGATGCACCCGGACAATTAGTTAGTTCTAGTTCCTGTAGATGGCGTAGTTGAATGAGAGACGACAGACCGCTCGACGTCAACAGAGGACAACCTAAAAGAAAGGAAAGAAAAGAAAAAAAAAACAAACTCGGTTAAAATCAATGAAGCTATTTCCCGCTTTTATTTAATTACGGCATTTGGTTTTGTTCGGGGAGGAAATTTATATCGTTCGATTCGAATTCTTTTGTTGGAGATGGCTTTGCATTTTGATGAGATCTGCGAATCAAGTCACACAAAAAAACATTTTTTTTTTAAGTTACCGGAGTTCGCGGAAAGCATTAACGATTATCCGAACTTATTTTTTTTTTATCCTTTTAAACGGTATAAAAATGCATTTAAGTCAATTTATATATATATATTTTTTCTTTATTTTCAGGTTATAAATCTTTTATAAAAGATTATTATATTGTTTAACAGTGTATTAAAATAAAGAACCACTGCCCTTTCTAATTTATGAATATATCAAGCCAAGTGTAAGTGTATTATAAGTTATATATAATATCTTATTTTGTGCAAGTCATATTTTGTTCTCGTTTATTTATTTATATGAATAATTTTATTTTTAAATTATAAAGTTTAAAATATAATTTTATGGTACGGTGGGTGCATTTTTTAAAAAAAATTTTATAGACAAATTTATACTTAGATGAAGGACTAACGTTACAACATGACTGAACCATTGTAATAATGACTAATGTACTGTAAAATATTTAGGACGTATTAATGATAAGCTAAATAATGTTAGTAAGTCTTTCTTTATGATAATAATTATACCGATGGTAAACATTATTATTACCGAGAAGGAAAATATAACGAAGTAAACTGAAACAATGGCTTTTTACTTTAAAGACAAAAATCCATCATTAAATGTATTATTTTGCTTATAACTAACATAATGTAGACCCATATTTTAAAGTTTCTTTTCGGTAAATTACGTCCTATAGTTTAAATAATGTCATTCTCAAGTTTCTGTTAACTTTGTTTAGTTGTATAAATTTAGTGGTATAAATTAGACAGGAAATATATAATGTGTTTATAAAAATTTAAAAAGCCGAGCTTTATGTATGGAATATAAAATGATAAAGGAAACTGTCTGTAAGTTAGATTAAATCCGCTTGGCGCTGGTTTGATATGTGGAACGAATGAACGGGAAGAACATGGAGAGAGAAGATAGTAAATGTGGAAAAAGAGGCCGAGAAAGGTTAAAAGAAACGAATGAGATATGGAGGAGAGAGAACTTAAGGATTCGTCATATATGCGAAAAGAATTATGGATACGGTCGAAACTAATAATAGTAAATTTGGATAATAAAGTTTATTTATTACTATATCTTATATTCGGATATTTCAATAAAAATGCTTATTAATAATTACTGATATTATGTAATTATGCCGTAAAGTTGCCGTAATTTTTAAAAACTGATAAAAATTAATGTATTTTTTTCTTTTTTTTTTTTTAAATACTGTATGTAATACTGACCTGCCACCGAAAGGATCTGAAGATTCCTCATGCTACATAAATGCTGTAGGCCAAAGTCTCGAACTTGTGAACACCATCGAATATACAGAGCGTTGAGATTTACCATGGTGGAAAGATAACCCAGGCCGATGTCTGTTATGTGAACACATCTGTAAAAAAAAAATACGGATGGATTATGAATTTAAAGATATTGAATGGAAAATTATTATATGATAATATTGCAATGGTTTATATTTTATCAAGCACTTCTAATTAATTCCAGTCTGATAAATGTAAATATTTTGACAATATTAAGGAGATTTCTCGAGATTCTGTCCTCTTTTCTCTCTATACATTCTCATTTTGTTCTAGCTTTCAACACATTTCTCCTATACAAAAATAGTTCGGTTTTAATTGGCTTCGTTACTTAAGATCTTGCTAACACGCTCCTCACATCGATCTACAATACTCGGTGTCTTATAATTATACCTTTATATATGCACAAGTAGTAGAAGTTGAATTAAAAGCAATTCTTTACGTACTGTACGAGTGTACGCCAAGATTATTCAAATACCGGCTCTTTTGACTTTCATACGGTTCGTGAGTTTATGGCGGATTTCTAGTACACTATGATAGCAATAATCATAAACACTGACAAAAGATGCAATTTATGAACGCATACCATCATTGTCTAGAAAGAGAGTGATAAAATAATGCCATTTAAAGCGAGCAAAGTGTCTATAATCACACACACTACGCTACAAAATAAAAAAAAAAAGTTAAACAAATAGACAGGAAAATGATGCGGCATTCAATTTTACGATTTACAAAGTTTAGTTTTCTAAAGTATAAAATCAAATTAAACTGAATATAGCAACTTTAACTTTTTAAACATATAACTCTAAGAATATCAGTTAATTTGCGGTATTCGTGGGCTTCTATCGATAAAATAATGATTAATTTACATATGTTGACTTCTCACTTTCAAATGACAATTTTTTTTTTAATTTTTTATGACGTTAAAATATAAACGGAATATCCAATAAAAGAATTTCCAATTAATTTATTATACGTCAGAAATTTCATTTTTTCTCCCTCAGATGGCGCTCTAATCAGAACGACGACGTTATTCGGTTGTATTTACATATATTAAAACCTATTTTTTTCTTTTTTAATAATTTTTTTTGTCACAAATAACAGAGCACTTATCTACAGTTAAGCGTATTCATTTAAGCCAATTGATGTATATTTTTTGAATTTTTTTATTTTTAGCTATTAAGATTTTTTTAAACAAATTGTAGATAAAACTACCCCTGTATCATTACTGTAATTATCCAATACTTAATTCATTAAAATCATAATATTTGAGAAGAAATGTAAAATCCATCCGTAAGCCAAAGCCCCGAGAAAAAATTCGGATGGGAGGTAGGGAGGGGGAAGAAAAATCAAATCGCGTTGACGTCACAGGCGCAATGCACGACCCGGAAGTAAAAGGCAAAAGTTGGCAGCTGCAGCTCCTCCTCTTCCTCTTTTCAACGATCGCCGTCATCGATCGATCCGGCAGACGAGCTGCTCTGGCGCCTATTCCGATCACGTGATTCGACGGAAGGTTTCATTCCTACTCCGCCCCGAGGTTGTACGAGAAAAGATAACTCCGGAATTAGGAAGAAAAAAAAAAAAAGAATGCCAAATACTAATTATTGAAAACTAGTGGTTTAACGGAACGAAAGAAACATAATTCGAGACACCATTTCCTTTCTTCCTCCCCCCCAAAAATATGTATATATTAATCGAATGGCGGGCGTTTCCGGTATTAAAGAGAAAGGGTTGCTTATCGAACTATACAGTAAATGGAAGCTACCACATTGGGAGATTTATTTACAGTACTTTCAATTGAACTGGAAACCGTTTAGATCCTAACAATTCTCTTCTACCTCAATTAAACGGATTGAACTTAAAAAAGAAAAAAATGAATTAATTCTTGTCAATTAAAGATGGAGTCGTTTCGGCAAATTAAGTAGAATTTATTACTGTTTTGCATTCATAAATAATCTGTTATAATTCAAAAGATGGCATCGACTCGGACGGGTGAATATTGTCGTTTATTATTTTTAAGGAGAAGGAAAATTTTATTGTGTCTTGTCCGCTTTTATTTTCTTAAAAACCGAGACAATTGCGTCAACTAATACTTTGTTTTGGACTTCCTCCAAATTATAAAAACATGAATTCATTTTTATAATAATAAAATAATAATAATAATTGTTTCTATTATTCTAAAACCTGTTCGATTTTAAATTTTACATTTTAATCTTAGGAAAACCTTCATTCCTTTACTTTTCCTGTCTTTTATCTAAGTTCTCCCGGAAAGTGGCAAGGAAAAAAAAATCTCTTAAGTGTAAACTTTCCCGAGTTATCAGTTAAACAAAGAGCGTGGGGTACGTGCGTACAGTCGAAACTTCCATTTAAGGATTTTTCTTTTGATTACCGATCGCTTTTGCTTATGATCCTAGTCGACCCTTTTGCCAAATTGATTTCAGAAAAAGATAGAATAGGCAAAGTTCTGTAATATATCTAGTCATAAATACCAAACCGCTCATAAACATATATATTTATGAGTATTTCTGCTCCGAATTCTACTTTTTCTTTCGTCTGGTGTATACGAATTTCCTTCTTTTTTTTTTTTTATTCCATCAGACATTTCTATCTCTCCCGTTAATCACTTGGGAATGGTAATTTTCTGTTGTTTTTGGGGGAAAACGTCCAAATAGTACGAGAAATTACACGTATTTGTTACTAAGAATAACCAAATAAAATATTATTCTACATTAAATTTTTTTTTTCGATTCGTTACATCCAAGCACAGTTTATTTCAGGCATTTATTATTATTATTATTATTTTTTAGCAGTTAGAATGTTTGAGGAAGTAGATTATAAAAAAAAACCTGCTGTTTTTATAGATATAATCTTAAAATATGCATTGCATTACTATTGCTCTTCTTAAAAGAAAGTATATAATCAAAAATAGAATCTTTTACCGATAAAATTTTTATAAATCTTCGTATTGTGTTAGGGTGTAGATTAAAGATAGAAGAAGAATATTTCGGCTTTATAATACTATCGATACTCGCAGGTTTATCACCCGACAGAAATGTGCGATAAACAGTAAAGCTACTTGGTATTCTTTTCGATTAAACGGGAAATACGTTTTCTTTCCCCACCCCCTCTCCATTTTCTTCGCCAATTTGTTTTGGAATAAACTCAATCTGCTAATGGTATCCCAAAAAATTGTGCATTTTATCTGCTATATTTTAAGATTATGTATGAGTTATCGTTTCCATGAATTTTTCATTTTCGGCTTTAAACATATTCTTTAAATTGAATATGGAAAAAGACGTCACAGTAAAAAAGCCAGCCTCATTGGTCGACTATATCACCATATGTGCCTACACCATAAGCTTTAATATGATTAAAAAAAAGTTCATAGGCGAAAAATGCAATTGTGTACGAAGCGGTATAAATATTTTATTCTAAATTTTAAACATAATAAATACATTTAAAAATCGATATTTTAAGCCATTAACTTATTGAATAATGCAAAAACACTTATTCCCCTCCATTTTTTTTTAACTACACAGTCTTATCCGGCGGATATTTAGATTTAAAAAAAAATGCAAATGCCAATCGCAACTAGATTAGAATTCTTCTGGTAGATTATTAATAATTATAAATTTAAATATACCGAATTGGGAGGAGCCATTCGGTATTATTCTTCCAAATTAAGTGAGACCGGTTCCACATCTGCATTCCCCAGTTAACTATAATTAAAATTCCTCAGCTATTATATGGATAATAATCTAAAGTAGAATAAATTAAATAATGGCGGATATAAAGATAATTAAAAAAAAAAAAAGAAAGAAAGAAAGAAAGAAACCACTCGTTAGCCGATGTGACCGATAGCAGATTGTTAATTCTTGCATCAATAGATTTATTTATATCTTCAACCTCCATCAGTAGTCTTTGATAGGCTTTAAATATATAGCTCAACCTCCTCCCAATCACGGGACACTTACGACAAAAATTATAAATACTTCTGAATTTCTGGGTTTAAATTATGGTTTTGTTATTTTAAATTCAACATATAATAAATTCTTGCTTACTTCACTTTTATTGCGAAAGGTTATCGAATTTCGCAACCAATTTTATTATATATAACTATAA